AAAAAAAAAAAAAAAAGTTGTGAGTGTTCTGCTGAAAGTGTCTAAAGATCAGTTTTCCCCTTTGAGTAAAGTCATTTAGTTTGCATAATCATTTGTATAATCTGTTTAGCACTTCTGATAAGTAAATTTAAACTTTAATAAAAATAAATTAATTTCGAGGTAGTCTGCATGTTGCAAGTTCCTTGTGGCTCATTAAGGAGAGCTGAAAATTTGTCATAAAATGAGCTTTTTTTAATGGATAAAATGAAAACTTTCAGTAGTTTAATTACTGTATTTTGTTCTTTACTGATGCCATTGTTCCCTCGTACTTAACTGTAAAGTTAATTATACTTGAGGGAAAAAAATCTTTTCCTTTTTAAAACCTTTAAGAGTATTAACTCAGTTTGTTTAGTCACATATTTGTCAGCTCTATATGTTAGAAAAAGCATGCTTAAATTAACACTTTTATGATGCCTGTGTAAAGTATAAAATTCATGTCCGATTGCTTCAGTTAGTTGCCTTTGCCATTCTTAGTATGCTTAAAACGTTTATTGCATTTAAGTGAACAGCAGCTTAAATAGGCATTTTGTCAAATTAGAAGAGCCTATAAGCAATCCAGAATTACTGGCCAATTATTTATGTCACCATAAACACCATTTTGTACTGCAAACTGATTATGCCTAAGAAACTGATTAACTGGTTGATTTGGCTACCCATACCTGGACTCCTGCACACCTTGTTTATCCAGTACTTGGGCTATGATAACTTAGTATGATAGTACAGTTGGTCCTGACTGTTCTCAGATTTCATGTTTGCAGATCTGCTGCTGACAAAGTTTATTGGTAATTCTCCAATCAATACATTGCTTTGTGGTCAAATTACTGACTATAGTTAGGGGAGAGGGTTGTTTAAGTTGCTATATTGGAGTTGAAACAAGCTGGTGTTCTGTCTTTTTGTTTCAAGTATCCTACTGTAAATGTGTCCTTTTTGTGACCTACTTAGTACCGCGTTTTTGCACCTTTCATTGTTGGTTGTGATTTTTAAAATGGTCCCGTGTAGTTCTGAAGTGCTATCTAGTATTTCTAAGTGCAAGAGGGCAGAGGTGTACTCAGAAAGGAAATAATGTGTTAAATAAGCCTCACTCAAGTATGAGTCATAGGGTCTTTATTTACTGCACCCTGTATTAGGGACCACAGGTACTGAGATGAAAAGAAACCATCCCTCTGGCATTAATCTCAGTTTTGAGTCTACCACAGACAAATAACAAGTAGTTGTAACAGTGTTCAGTTACTCCAGTGAGGTTGAGCAGTATGTGCCAGGTTTGGGGCAGGGATTTGTTTGGCCCTCACCTACCCTCCCCAGTGAATACTTCTGGTTGAGTTGCTAAGAGGTGTTCCTCTTCAAGTTGCGAAAAACGCCTAGTAGCTGACCTGATCCCAAAGTACTAAGTGCATGCAGGCATAGCAAGGGCCAATGCAGAGACCCATTGGCACATAGCAGCATGGTATGTTCAGAAAAGTAAGAAGTTTTGCATGTAGCCAAAACATAGGATTGAGTTAGGTCCTGATTTTGGAGTTGCTGTTTGTATACTATGCTGAGTGCTTTTTAAAAACAGACTACAAAAATCCAAATATAAGAGTAGAGAAAAATATGAATGTTTTGTACTCATCACCCAGTGTCATTATTTATCAGCCTTTACCTACTTTTGTCTCATCTGTCTGAGTTTTGTCCCACCCATTTTTATCTAAAATATTTGAAAACAAAGTTCAGACATTAATAATTTCATCCATAAGTACCTGCTGAAGAGTTTAACCCCTGAACAGTAGAGACCACTGCAGGGTTTTAGAGAAGAGATCAAAGAGCTGAAGTTTCATCTTATCAATGTTGCTCCTAGGGGTGTGTGGAAGATAGGTTGGAGCAGGGGAGGACCTAGTTTAGACCTTATATAGACCTAGGATAGACCTAAGAGATGGTTATTTTAATCTAGGCAAGAAATGCTAAAGTGTGTCTTAGAGAATGGATAGAGAGAAGTCTTTAAGAGAATGGCCTGAGGGATGGTGAAAAAACTTTGGACACCTTCTCTATCGAGGTTGATGTATCAGCTCTGGTCAGGTTTATTGACGGGGTGTACATGACAAACATCCAAGTGGAGAAGTCTACTTCGCTGTAGGTACAGTACTCGGAAGAGAAAGGTTGAAAAGCTGTCTGTAAGGTAAGTGGTGGCCATGTGTGCATACAGAGCATGGGAACTAAAAACAGTGGCATAGTCTGAGAATGTCTTAGGTCTGAGAGGCCAACCTGCAGCTCTCTCAGAAGTTCTTGAGATCAAACAGAATTGGCATAAAAATGACCAGCCAGCAGAGTGACTGGCAAATAGTGGGGATGTTGTAAATGTGAGTTTCATAACTTCCCTGTTGCTTATGTGTGGTGGTCTGTCTCTTGCTTCCTCTTAGCCTCAGCTCTGTTCTTCAGGTTCCTCTTTGCCTCAGCTCTATTGTTCAGGTTACGTTATTCCCTTCCTAAAATCACCAGGCAGAAAGAACTTTAACTTAGATAGACAGAGAATCTCCTTTTCTTATGGATACTTAATATATGCATACTCGTTCTCTTTAGCTTATAGCTCTCTTGAGAGTAAAAGTTATACATTCAGGACCTTCCTTGGTGGTGCTGTGGGTTAAAGCACCGCACTACGAAACTACCAGCAGCTGCTTCAGCACGAATTCGATCCCTAGCCCCCAAGGTGATACACATGGAGTAGCAGACCTCTCTTGTCTCACTCACTGCTTCCCTCGGCAGTGTACTTCATGGAACTGCCTGTACTGCTCCCCTCCCTGTCTCTGGTGAATCCTCTCACCGCCCTTGCACCTCTGGCATAAATAAATAAATCTTAAAAAAAAAAAAAAAAACTCCCTTATAAAAAAAAAATGGGTTAGGCTTCTTTCTTCATATGCTTGGTGTGTGCTCATTTTAAAGGACCAACTATGGTGTAGATATATTCTTTTTTCCAGCTTTTCCCAGAAAACAAGTTCTTTAACCCTTTATTCTTTTTCTAATGTCATGTTTAGAAATTTTGTTAGAATTATTTTTTATGATACTTTGTATTTAACTTATAAAATTATGTTGTTTGGGGGCCAGTAAAATTGGAGCACTTAGAATTGCATTAGAAGATAAAAATTATAAGTGAAAATTACAAGTAGGGGATAATACTACAAATCTGACCTTTGTTTCTCTTTCCTTCTCCAGGGCCTGCTCTCTTTCCTGAGTGCACCACTCATAGGCGCTCTGTCTGATGTGTGGGGTAGAAAACCCTTTCTCCTTGTTACGGTCTTCTTCACCTGCTTCCCAATTCCACTGATGAGGATCAGCCCTTGGTGAGTAGCTCTACCCTCTACCATCACCATCATGACTGTCTACTTTGGGTCATGAGTGAACACTATATCTGTAGAGCACCAGCTTGGCCAGAGGCTATCATGCCCATTTTTAAAAACAGGGGAATGAATACATTACAAAATAAAATCTGAGAAATAGGATTAAGAGGTGTCTGTAGAAGAGCTATTGTTGCTGCAAGGTCATTTAACCAGGGTGGGTCCTGGTTGGGGGCAGCTGACATTTCTCTACTTATCATTGTGGCTCAGTTGACTTTACAGATGTGTTGTTTGCCAGCTCCTTGTTCTGAGGTTTTATGAGAACATAGTTTATATCACAAGAGGCAAGAATCACTTTTTTGTAAACTGTAGTAGTAAGATTAAGAGCTTACTCTGAATCATAGTATGGATTTTAGTTTTATTTCATTTTTTCCTGTTATGGGAAAAATAGTTACCATGTAATCAAAGTTTATTATTTAGTATCAAAGATGGATTGGAATTTATACCTGACCTGTAATTTACCTGTTTTTCTGAGGATGGTATTTTGGCTACAGTTCTGTTGCTGAGATGCCCTTCCTATATGAAGAACATACCTTGGAGTGGAAGTTTAGTTTTGTTTTAATGCAGTTAATGTATTTTCTTTGTCCTCTTAATAACTTAGTGTTTTTTTTTTTTTTTTTTAGATCTTAGACATGTTTTCTTAAGTTTTATTCCAATAAATATTACCCTTTTTGTACAATTACAATTTGGGTTCTAATTTCGTAGTTTCTAGATATAGTGTCATCTGTAAGTGAGTTTACCTCTTGAGTTTTTGTTGATAAAATAATGTTATATAATGATGATTGTGTACTACCTTTTTTGTGTTCATGAAGGAAGTAAAGCCTTTTTTTACACTCACTTGGCACTTTGATATTTCACCTTAGATGTATTAATATACATTTTATTAATAGGTTCTCTAATACTGACATCCTTATGTCATAGGATAAAACCTACTTTCTGTTCTGTTGTTATAGGGGACCCCAAATCTGTTAAGAGGACGGGGCGAAGGGCACCCCTAAAGCCCCAAAATCTGCCTGCTCTAAGTGGGTTCTGCCATCCGCCACAACAAGACAAAACATATAAAACTTCAATGAAAAGGGATTTTAATACAGTAAATATACAATATGGAACACAAAGAATTTAACTTCTAAATCAAGCACCTGAAGTTACCCATCCCCTCTTGGGCATAAGTCAACCCAAAAGGGATTGGCCCAAAGCAAGACCTGAAAGCTGCCACTAGACTAAAGCACCTTCTGGCTGGGACCCATGGAAAAGGGTTAGAAATGGCCAGACAAATCTGGGAGGAAAGGTGCAAAATCAAAATCAATATAAACACTGCCATAGTCACCCCCTACAGGTCTCTCACCCACCTCTGCCTTAACCAGTAAAGGGTCAGGAAACAAGCAGGGTTTCTTCATCACATGCTTGCTGCTCCATGTGGCTTCCTTAGGTCTCCTCCTTCTCCATCCTGCTTCATTTTCTTTTTCTCCCTTCTCTTCTCTCCTTTTTCTCTGCTCAGCTCCACCCTCCTGGGTGGGGCAGGGAACCTGGAACTTCCCTTTTACCTAGGGACCACCCTGTTACACTGTGAAGTTCTTTTTGCTACTGTATACATATATATATCTGATAGAAATTTTAGCCTTATATTAATTTTTTTGTTATTGTGCTTTCTGCTTTTAAATTCATTTGTTGTGTATCTTTTCCTTAGCTAAAGTTACCAGATTTATAGATTATTTCTCTTCTGCTGGCTACCTTTAAAACTCTTAACTTTACTTAACCAGCCCTTTCATTTTTTGTTTTTTTAAACTATGTACCTTTTGAGCAGTGGCAAAATAGTATTTTATGCCCTCCATCTTATGTTTAAGTTTATATCTTTAAATATACACGTGTGTGTGTGTGTGAGTGTATTAATCTGTTGGTTTAAAATCTTTATGGTGTCTTGACTCATAAAAATACATAAATAAGTACTTCTCTCCTTAGTAATTAAAATATCTTTTTGTAGGTGGTATTTTGCTATGATTTCTGTCTCTGGAGTCTTCTCAGTTACATTCTCTGTGATATTTGCCTATGTAGCTGATGTCACTCAGGAACATGAGCAAAGTACTGCTTATGGATGGGTAAGAAACTAGTTTTTTTTTTAACTACAGAAATAATAATAATTAAGATTCTATTAAAAATTTACTGATGAATTTTAAAATGTGCTGACCATTGACTTATATACAAGAGAATCTAAAGTAATTAACATTAAAAAGGAACAAGTTGGGCCCTCCCTGGTGGCGCAGCGGGTTAAAGCACAGTACTGAGAATCTGAAGCCGCTTCCGCATGAGTTCGATTCCCGCCTGCCCCGGAGGTGACCACATGGCGGGGCAGACCTCTCCTGGCCCGCCCGCTGCTCCCCTCAGCAGTGTACTTCGTTGATCTGCCTGTTCTGTTCCCCGCTCTGTCTCTGGTGAAGCCTCTCGCCTCCCCTGAGCCTCTGGCCTGTACCCCAGTTCTGAATGCAGAAATAAATAAATCTTAAAAAAAAAAAAAAAAAGGAACAAGTTAAAAATAACAAGATAGAGGTAATTTATTCTCTGGATTAGAGATTGACAAACTTATGAGTTGTCAGTTGCGAAGTTTTTTAAGATGTTCCTTTGATTGTTTCTTGTTAACTGATAACTTGAGGAAACATAAACAGTAAGTAGATGCTAACATCGGAGGTTTATGCACACCCAATTTGAAATGGAGAGATGTTGGAACCACAGCCATGGTAACCTGGTTGTCTCCCGTACATGGTACTGTTAGAAAAAGGACTTCCTTCATTTATTTGGCAAATATTGTTGAGTGCATACCATAAGTTAATGGAGATCTCTTTTTAGATAACTTTTGAATAGTTCTACTTTTCCTAGGCATGATACTGGCATTGTGTTTATATGGGATAAAAGAGGCCTGTAGAAGATAGCAGGCTGAAGCACTTTAACTTTGATTGTCACAGTGCTGAATGTTAATCTCAAAAGATTCAGTGGAGAAAAATGGTGTGTGAGCATGTGTGGATCTTTGTTCAGTATGAGGCCTTTGGGTGTTGCTTGGTATCCTGCAGCTCAATTTCCAGTCTTTGTCCATAGATTTTTCCTTACCAGCAAACAATTCTAAGACACCTTGGTGGTGTCAAAAAATTCAGCTCAATTCTGACACTGTCCTGAGACATCAGATTCCTAAAGATAAGAGCTCAGACTTATCTCCCAAGACTTCCCTCCACTTTAGATACCAGTAGCAAGCCCCCGGCATTTTGGTAATTGGATTTCTGCACCACTGGGTATAGGCTGGAGGTTCCCTTCACCCTACTCTTCTCAGTTAATTTACTAAAACATACAAGATCACAGATATCTTATAAAGAATATTATTCAGAAACATCCAGATGGAAGGGATAGGTGGGGCAAGATATAGGGAAAAGACACAGAGCTACTATATGTCTATCCAGGTGTGTCCTCTCCCAAATCTTTAAAACGAATGCAGATGCTCTCCTAAAACCACCCCCTTGGGTTTTAATGGTGGCTTTATTCATTACATAAGCATAACTGAATAACCCTTTGGCAGTTGAACTCAACCTCCAGTCCCTTTCCTATGGAAGGATAGTGGGGAGGGAGTGGAAGCTCCAACCTTCTAATCTTTGATACTTAATCCTCAGGCAACTGCTTATTCCATTGTATACTTTCCCAAAATTCACCTCATAAGTAAGAGACACCTTGAACATTGTCAGCACTTAGCAAATTCCAGGACTTTGGCAACTGTGAGCTAGGAACTATAGATAAAAATCAAGTATGTATAAAATATCATTTGGTGACTTGAATGACCAAAATATATATTCATATAAATCACAGTGTCACAGACATACAGAGCATTGTGCTTTTTTCTCAGCTGTCCTATGTGTGAAAATGTTTACAATGAGAAGGTAGAAAAAGAAAAATGATCTGTCTGACTTGTTGAGTAAGTTGAAAGACCCTACCACAGTGCTCTCATTGCTATTTGCAGTGCATTGTATAATGCAGTTATGTGATTGGCTCTATCTTCTCAGATAATACAGAAAAATTAGAAGCATAAGGCAGAAGCTCTGTCTTCTTACATGTATGGTATATAGTAGGGACTCAATAAATGTGAGCCAGGAGTTTCTGTTACCCAACTTGGAATCTCTGCATCCTCCCTACATCTTGAAAAAAAAAAAATTTTTTTTTTCATTTGAATATCACAGTATTTTAACTAGAATAGTAGTCTTTTTTTTTTTTTAAGATTTACTTATTTATTCATACAGAACTGGGGTACAGGCCATAAATGCATAGGGTGAGAGGATTCACCAGAGACGGAGTGGGGAGCAGAACAGGCAGATCGATGAAGTACACTACTGAGGGGAGCAGCGGGCAGGTCAGGAGAGGTCTGTCCCGCCATGTGGGTCACCTCCGTGGCAGGGATTGAACTCATGCAGAAGTAGCTCAAGCTTCTTAGTGCTGTGCTTTAACCCCCTGCGCCACCAGGGAGGGCCCCCTTTTTTTTAAAAAAAGATTTGTTTATGCATATAAGATCTAGAAAGCAGCGTGAAGAGCATCAACATGGATTCAAATTGCATGAGTGATTGCTTGACAATGTGGTTTCTGGAATTAAGTGAAAGTTGAGAGTGACAAATCCACAGCTGAAGGATCTCTTTAGTTGGAAAGCTTTGGCCTCCCTCTCTGTTTCAACAACTTTTTCTTGGTTTCATTGTTGACAGTTTTTTGTCTTTCTAAGAATACAAGGGGTTTTCCCCTCTCCTCTTTGCCTGTAGGTGAAATGGTCACCAAATAATAGAATGGTACACATGTGCTTTTTGAAAGAAAAATCAAGCATATTCCTTGAGTAATTTGTAGATATTTATCATCACCTCTATAGGAATTTCTTTTCATACCCTTTCCCCCACTTTCCTATTCCCCAATCAAAGAAGGTTGTATATCATGTTCTTGTAGCTTTCTAGGATATCTCCAACTAATAAATAGTTTGTGAACAAATTCTTAAAGCAAAATTGCTTCAATTGTCTTTAATTTTTAAAATGCGTGTGCAGAGGTTAAGTCTCAATGCTATCACCATTGCAGCCTGAATTCCTTCCCTAACCAGGGAGCAAACCCGCATATGGCACAGCAGACCTCACCCTCACCTGTTTCACCCATTGCTCCCCACTTTGGTGAATCCTCTCACTTCCTGATACCTCTGGCCTACACTTCAGTTCTTCATTACATAAATAAATTGTTAAAAAATAAAATTTGTGGGCAATATATTCATTTTGTTTAATACCAGGGGAGGATACCTGTGGTGGAGTTTGCTTTCCAGGAGGAACCCTAGATGACAATATGTTTTCCATAGGTCTCAGCCACCTTTGCAGCCAGTCTGGTGAGCAGCCCAGCCATTGGAGCCTACCTCTCAGCCAGTTACGGAGACAGTCTTGTTGTGCTGGTGGCCACAGTGGTGGCTCTTCTGGACATCTGCTTCATCTTAGTAGCTGTTCCAGAATCTTTGCCAGAGAAAATGAGACCACTGTCCTGGGGAGCTCAGATTTCTTGGAAACAAGCAGACCCTTTTGCGGTAAATGAAACAAAAATTTTCTTTATAAATAACTTTCTAAGCCCTGCAAAGAAAAGAATTATTTCTGTAGCCTTAAGCATCCCAGCAGCCATTGATTAATTTCTGTCCTCAGTAAAATAGAAAAAATATAAATTGCAGGTAGTGGCCATTTAAAGTGGTCACTTTCATTCTCCTAAATTTAACAAAGATAAATGCATTTGGTCTAATTTTGCTAAGTTGTTATTGTACATCTTTTTTTGACCATTGACTCTGAGCTTGCATTTTACAGATTGAATGGCTTCTAATTTGTTTTGTTTGGGGAGGGGTTCCATGAAGGGCTTCCACTAACAGTTAGAGAAGAACTTGAGAAAAAGTACCTTTTCTCTCTTCCCCTATCTTAACTGGTTTGAAATTGTTCTTGAGGAAATTAATGTGTAGGGGGGAAAATAACCAGAGAATTGATTTTTACCCCCCAAGTTTACCTTTCAGAAAAAAATAAGTAATAAGAAAACTAACTCATCAGAAATTTTCTTATAAAACCCCCCCTCAGGACAAGACCTGGTAGCCCTTCTCTTTCTTTTGGTGGTGTGATGTCAGACAGCAAAAAAGTATTTAGAAGAGGAGATAAGTGGAATCAGGAGGGATCAGGCCTCCCACCTTCTTGTCATGTGGTCAAGTTACACACAGAAACTTTTTTGTGAAATGGAACTACTGTGGCTTACTTTTCAGAGTAGTTGTGGGGATTGCAGTGACTGTAAATTAACTCATCTAATATTTCTTGTCACCAATGTCTCAATAGACATGAGCTGCTTTTGTTGTTAATTATATGAGGATTGCAGGTAAAATTTAGGGTATACTGTAGCACTCCACACTCCTAGGATATCATGCCTTTGGTCTACTCCAACACCCCTGTGTAGAAGGGAATATAAGAAGGATTTTGGACAAGGTCGAACTAGATCAAAACCATGAAATTAATATCCTAGAATATAAGTGACATCCATTACTTACTTGTTTTTAATGTGTCTTGGTGGTTTCTCTTTCTGCTTATTCCTAGTCACTGAAGAAAGTTGGAAAAGACTCTACCGTTTTACTGATCTGCATCACTGTGTTTCTTTCATATCTTCCTGAAGCTGGACAGTATTCAAGTTTTTTTCTCTATCTCAGGCAGGTAGGTAGTGGGTGCCTTATTAACATTGGAGTGTGAAGGAAATCAAATGTTTGAATCTGTCTAAAGATATTTTGGGGGAAACATGGTAGATTAAAAAATGCATGCACTTGCTTCTAATTATAAGTGAAGTGCTGATGGGTGGATACTATATATATATATATATATATATATATATATATAATTAGTAAACAGAAGACCTTTAATCCAATGATGTTAAAATAGAGCAAAAGGCTTACATAGGGAAAATTTTCTTTGAGAGTTACAGAAACAGAATTTATCATATCTTCAGTCTTTAATAATCCTCATTAAACTTCACAAAGAGGTTTCATGCGCTTGGTTGGAGAACAGCCAGCTTACTGTGCCATCTTCAATAGGCACAGCTCAACATTCACAGACTTCAAGGTGGCTCATGAGCAGTGATGAAAATAATCTTACCCTCTTCTGATATTTTTTTCTTTAAAATTTGCATTCCATTTTGTCCCCACCAAAAAAATGCAATTTAAAGAAAGTTTTCATCTTCAGTTATTATTTCAGGACTCTAAGGTTACTAAAACCTGAGCTGCCTGTCATTGCAGTCTTGCCTTGGAGGTCTTCTCCTAATGGTTTATTCGCTTTGGGCCAAGGAAGTCACATCTTAAGATCAACTTCTCTAACGTTGGAGATACTTTCAATAGAGACTTGTTAAATTCACCATTCTTAATGGTTTTCCTGAGTGGATAAGAGTATAATGTAAATGACACTTTTTCATGCAATTCCGGTTTTTTTTTGCTCATTTTTGATGGGTGGATACTCCAGACTTAAGAGGAATAGTGATAAGATAATGTGTTTAATGTAGAAAGTTATGTACATACTCAGTTATGTGGTAAATAAGCATGTAAAAAGAAAGTTATGTCAGAAAGTTCAGGAAAGTAAAAGGTCCTACCTATCTCATCCTTTCACACAGATAATAACTGATTTTTTTTACCCTATTTTCTATACATAAGTGCTTACGTTACCACCAATAATTAGAGTAAATGAGAATTATTTTGTAATTTTGCATTTGTGCTTGTTTTTAATAGAAGTTAACATGCATACTTTAGTTAAAATTATAGTTGACATTTATAAAATAAATCTCTGATCTGGAATTTGCATCTTCTGTATATGTGTATACAGCTCCTACAAGCGAACAATAAAACGCCCAAATGGAAAAAAAGACAAATAGATGTTTTTTTTTTTTAAGATTTATGTATGCACACAGAACTGAGATGTAGGCCAAAGGTGCAGGAGTGGAGAGAGGATTCACCGAAGACAGAGTAGGGAGCAGAATAGGCAGATTGACAAGTACACTGCTAAAGAAAGCAGCGGGCGAGACAGGAGAGGTCTGCCGTGCCACGTGAGTCACCTCTGGGGCGGGGAATCCAACTCTCACTGAAGCGGCTGTGGCTTGCTTGCAGTGCTGCACGTTAGCCCATTGTGCCACCAGGGAGGGCTTGACAAAGAGATTTTGAAGGTACTTCTCTAAGAAAGACGCAAAAATAGCCAGTCAGTGCAGAAAAAGCACTTAGCGCTCTTGGCCATCAAGGAAACACCAAATAAGACAGTAACAAAAATGGCTGTGATCAAAAAGACACAGGTACAACCCCTATACCTGCTGGTGGGAATAGGAGTGTAAAACAGTGTGGCCACTGGGGAAGAGAGCTGACTGTTCTTCAAAATGTTCAACACAGCATTCCCAGCAAAACTCTTCCCAGGTATATACCCAAGAGAAATTAAAACACATGTCTACTTAGAAAGTCAGACACAAATCATTATTTATGATAGCCAAAATGTTGAAGCAGTCCAGATGTCTGTCACCTGATAGACTTACAAATGTGCTATCTCTTTATGATGGAATGTTATTTGGTAATAAAAAGCAGTGAAACACTGACCATGGAGGAACTTTGAAAACATTTTGCTAAGCAAAACAAAACCAGGATTCCACAAGTATATGATTTCTTTCATCTGAAATGCCCAAAATAGATAAGTAGATACAAGAAATAGATTATGCAGTCTGGACAGAGGGGTATGCTAGGTAGGGGTATAGGTATCATGGGCACCAAAGTGATTAATGGGCATGCTAGCCAGGCTCTGAGTATACTGACTCTATGTAATTGTATGTTTAGTTGGGTGAATTAATATGAAGTTTAAATTCAGTCTCAAAACTTTTTTTTTTAAGATGTATTTATTCACACAGAACTGGGGTACAGCCAGAGATGCGGAGGGTGAGAGGATTCACCAGGGACAGAGTGGGGAGCAGAACAGGCAAATTGACAAAGTACACTGCTGAGGGAAGCAGCGGGCGGCTCAGGAGAGGTCTGCCACAGCATGTGGAGCTCCTCCGGGGCAGGCGGGGATCAAACTCATGCGGAAGTGGCTTTAGCTTCTTAGTGCAGTGCTTTAACCCGCTGCACCACCAGGGAAGGCCTCAGTCTCAAAACTTTTAAAAATAAAAATATTTAAATTTTTTTTTAATAATCCCTGAGGCCGAAATAGAACACCTAAATATATTCAGTTTCATGTTCAAAAAAAAATTTTTTTTAAGATTTTCTTATTTGTGCATACAGAACTGGGGTAATAGGCCAGAGGTGCAGGGGCTGTGAGAGGCTTCACCAGAGACAGAGTGGGGAGCAGAACAGGCAGATCATCGAAGTACAGTGCTGAGTGGAGCAGTGGGCGGGTCAGGAGAGGCCTTCCTTGCCGTGTATGTCACCTCCAGGGCAGGTGTGGTTTGAACTCATGCGGAAGTGGCTTTAGCTTCTTAGTGCAGTGCTTTAACCCTCTATGCCACCAGGGAGGGCCCTCAAGTTTTTTTTTAATTGCTTTAACAACAGCACTGGATTGGGAACCAGAGGCTGTAGCTCTGGATTTTTTTTAAGGTATTGTGTAACTTGAAACAGGAAATGAGTATGTGTAATTTTATAAAGTCCTTTCCAAATTTTACAAGTTTCAGTGGGTAAAATATTATTTTAGAATCTTGATGTTTACAACTTAGAGTTTTAGGCATTTGAGAGCTACTCTTAAAGTTAAGAGACTTAATTTTGACTGCCTATTAAGAATTACCATGGGAACTTTTTAAAACATAGCTGTACCTGGGTCATACCCCCAGAGAGTAAATTAATTGGTCTCAAGCAGGTTCCAGCATCTCATTGCCCTCCTCTTCTCTGAGTTCTCCTTTACCAGTGTCTGTTGCCCACATGGTATTCATGTTGTACCAAAGTTGAGAGCTACTCACTTTGCTTAAATGAACAAATTTTGTATTGGCAGTGTTAAAGATTGCATTTGTTTTCATATTCTCGCTAATAATAACATTTTGTCTGTTGGCTAGGTGGGGGGGTAGGGGGAATATGAGACAGTACATTGACCTGTAATAGAAAATACTGTCTGTCTTTTAAAGTATTTCTTAAATTGTGATTGCTTGCAGTGATTTCATATTTCTGATTTAGATGTAAGTTACTGGTTAAATAAGTTGGACTTTCAACATGGTTTAATTTATCAGTCATAATGTCATAAATTTTCCTCAATTATTTTTATGCTATGACTTTAATAGGACAAAACATTTCTCATTGCTTTTATATCTCACAAAAGTGTTTTATTCTCATTTCCACAGATCATAGGTTTTGGATCCGTTAAAATTGCAGCCTTTATAGCTATGGTTGGAATTCTCTCTATTGTAGCACAGGTAAGTGTCATTTTACTTTTTTTATTATTTATTTAACATTTTAATTCTGATGTGACTATAAATTCACAGGAAGCTGCAAAGAAAAGGAGATGTTTATGGAAATATGTTGCAGTCCTCCTCCTTTCCCTACCATGGTAACATTGAACATATCAGTGGTTCCGTATCATAACCAAAAAATTGACACGGGTACCGTCCTCAGAATTACTCCATTATTTTTAAAGATTTATTTATTTATACATACAAGAACTAGGGTGTAGAACAGAGGTGTGTGGGGTGGGAAGATTCACCAGAGACAAGAGTGGAGAGCAGAACAGGCAGATGTAGTGAAATAACACTGCTGAGGGCAGCATTGGGCGCTACAGGAGAGGTCTGCTATGCCATGTGGGTCAACTCCCTGGCCGGGGACCAAACTCATGCTTCAGTGGCTGGTGGTAGCTTAAAAGCGCCACCAGAGAGACCCCTGGAACTATTCCATTTTTAATAGTATGTTGAGATTATGATACAGGAGGAATTTACTAGAAATTTTCAGTACTTTCTAGGATATTTGTTATCTTTTCAAGATCAGCTCTGCAAATAAAAACTTGCTTTCACCACCACCATCACATTCTAGTTACAGATACTGAAAAATAAACCAGGAGAATGTTTCAGTATTATTTTAATGTTTTGAAAAAGAGATGGATGTGAAAAAAAAAATCAATAACTCTTTCAGCCTTTGTGGTCCTTAGGACTAAATAATGTAAATCCATGCATTAGAAAATAGGTATGAGTAAAAAGAATGAAATATTTCCCCATCCACTATAAATACTAGATCATAAAAGGCAGCGCATGTGTCCTTTAAATTGGTTCCATTGACTATATCCTGTGGCACTGCTTACAGGCTCTTTGCCTGAAGCTTCTTTAAAGCTTGGTAGGCCAGTGGAGCATGGGTTTATGATCTGTTTCTCACATTCACTCACTCACTCTCAGAATGAGAAGAGCACAAAACTGTTTTGCCCAAAATTTTGAATTGACAAGGCTCATAAGAGTATATCAGTGCAAAAAATCTTTTAATTTTTGTTGTTGAACTATATCAATAAATGTTAATTTTGTTAAACTCACCAAGTAGCTCATTGTTTTGGCTTTTTTTTACATTAACTCTTAATTAGTCCAGACTCCTTTTGCCCTGTGCCTTTAAAATTATTACAACTGTTTTTTAGCAGAGTATATATTATTAAAACCCAGTCCAGCTTTGTGAAACTCTTAACTTCTAGTAAAGTTCCACATAGTATATGATGTTCAGCAGGGATTTGCTGTTTACTGGTGATTAGGTGATTGGCATTTCTCCAAAGATACTGAGGTGTGTCCTGTCCATTCATGAGAACTAGTACGCTATTACAGTGGCCTTTGGAAAGTGCTAACAAAACATCAGATATTCAGGCTTCTGGGAGGAGGCAGAGGCCCTGACCCCTGGTCAGTCGGGAATCCCCTAAAGTGTCAGTTTTGTAGGGCTCCATCAGTACCACAGGCCTCCACAGTCTCAGGTTAGGTGGTGTGTCCTTAGAAGATCCCTGCTCATTGTTAATGGTCTTCCCGCATGAGTTTGCATCAAATCTGTGTGTTCGTGTGGTTGCTCAGGATTGCCTTCTTTGCTTTGCAGACGTTCTTTCTTAGCATCTTGATGAGATCATTAGGGAATAAGAATACTGTCCTCCTTGGCTTAAGTTTCCAGATTTTCCAGTTAGCCTGGTATGGTTTTGGATCTCAGGCTTGGTAAGTATCTCCTGTGGAATTTTCATGAACTAACAGATAGATGCATCTTTTAAGTATATCACACATAGTCAAAAACAAAACACAAAGGTGAAAAATGGGCTAAATTAATTAGCTGAATGACCTTGCACAGTGATATAACTTTTAAAGAAAGCTTTTTGAGTTAGATGAAATCTAAGATCTGTTCTGAAATCACATGTTCCCTGAGGCAGTTATTAGTTATTACCAACATTAGATCCCATGAACAGAGGAAGAATGGTCCCAGGTATTTTCATTTTAAATAAATAAATGGACGGACAATTAGAACAATTAGAAATGTTTAGTGGTCTTACTCTTAAAGTTGGAATCCTCTGAACTTTAGTTCAGATTCCTTTAGATTCATGCCACATTAAAAAGGTTTTGTCAGCCTGAGGCTTTTCCTTTTCAGTTGAGGATATACATGTCAGCCATCCTGGCCTCGTGAGTAGTAAGCCACGGAGGCTTCACTTTTTTTCACACTAGCATTTAACATTGACATACATATAAGCTCCTTTCACTGACAAAGGCTTAAAAGCCGGCTTAGAAGTGTGCAGGATGTCATCCTGAACCTCAGGTCTTTGTTTTTTCCCATTAGTGCACATAAAGGAGTGAGGGTGGGGCCCCTTACAGCTCAAGGACACTGTAAAAGTGAGCCTTTGAGAAACAGAGAAAAAAACAGAATTTCTAGAAACAGATTCTTTTGACTATCATTGAACTTCCATCTAAAACTGGTAATAGGGAAATCAGGAGGAAGGACAGATTTTGAAGGACATAAGATACAGAACTGGGGTATAGGCCAGAGGTGCAGGGGCGGTGAGAAGATTGACTAGAGCCAGAGTGGGGAGCAGAACAGACAGATTGACAAAGTACACTGCTGAGAGGAGCAGTGGGTGGGACAGGAGAGGTCTGCAGTGCCCTGTGGGTCACATCTGGGGCAAGGATCAAGGATCAAACTCACACTTTGCAGTGCTGCACTTTAACCTATTGTACCACCAGGGAGGGCTCTAAAAAATGTGTTTTTTTAAGAAGACAAAGTAAAAATTAACACAAGAAAACAAAGCATTGGTACTTATGCTACTTATTGTACTCTATGCAGCAAGCACCTTGGGCTGGGCTGCCACCTGACCAGCCTTGTCGTTGCAGGATGATGTGGGCAGCAGGGACTGTGGCTGCCATGTCCAGTATCACATTTCCAGCAATCAGTGCCCTGGTCTCTCGGAATGCAGAGGCAGATCAGCAAGGTAAGGTCATTCACCCCTCATTTTCTGCTTTCAGCTGAGATGTACCTGCTAGAAGCATGAGCCACTGCACCTCTCTCTACAGTTAGCAGAACAGGAGGTGACAGTCATGTGCTCCCTTCTCAACAATTTACTTTGCCAAATAGGAAAATTCTACTTTTTTTCCTGTTTTGATCCTATACTAGTGTTTTTAAAATCTGCACTTAGCAGTTCAGAATATTAAGAATTAGAAATAGAACTACCCATTTTCTTTTTTTTTCAATTTTAATTGCTGTTCTGTGTTACTAGCAGAGTGAACTAGGCTGTAATCATTGTATAAGAGACGTCTAGTAAATAATGATAGCTACATTAGTAAAACAGCAAGTTACTTCATCAGAGTTTCTTTAATTTGGAATCACTCAATGTCCATTAGTTTAATTTAGGAAATTATTTCTTTGAAAGGATAAAGGAAAAAATCTGTAGGCAGTTGGGTGGAAAATTTAAGTTAGGTTATGGAGAGTTGCACTCTATCTACACTTTCCCTTCATCCCCTTGAGTCTCTGACTTCTCACTGGATAGTTTCTGTGCCAGAGTTAATCCTTTTCCAGGGTTAATCCTTCTCCTTCTATGTCTCTGAATGGTTCGCTGTACTGTAATCAGGGAAAAGAATTTTAGAAGAAACATTTTTTAAATGCTTAAGAGCCCTTTAAAATTTTTCAATAAAAAGCTAGATTGGAAAAGTATTTATCATCCCTATTTTTTCCACATGAGAAATTAACTGTCTTACTCAAACCCACTTTTAAATAGTGTCACTTGAGAACACAAATTCTGTGTCACCATGACTGTGGCTCCCTAGGCCATAGACTCCTTGGGGGGAAGGGTGTTGTATCTGTTGTGACCGTTCAGGGGAAGGATCCTGCCTGCATGTCTCACAGACTCTGTCCTACCAGTCAGGGCATGGACTTCCTTTGGCTCCTTTAAGGCTTGTATGAATGAATGCAGATGTTTGTATGTACATGTCTGTCGGAGACTTTGTCCCCCATCACAGATTATTGGAGGGCAGAACAGGCAGGGTCTCAAAGTGGGAATGGCGTCGGCGAGCAGAGATTCCTAGAAAAAGGGAAAAAAGGGGAGCGGGCGCGAGGAAGACACTGGAATGGGAGTTGGGTGCAAGTCTTCCTGCTCTGCCTTTAGCAGAGGTTCATTTTATACACTTCAGGCAGGCTGAGGGATGACATTAGCATATGAAATGGGCTGAGATCACAATCACCTTTTTGCTTAGAATAGTCTGGGGTTGTTTTGACCTTTAGCTGAGATTATAACATTTTTAAAATCAATCTATCAAGGTTAAAACAAGTACATAGATTCACAAAGTTTAAGACTATTACTGTATTTACCACAGTGAAGATTAACCAAAATAAAGTGCATGAAACATTATCTATTACTTAACAGCTTTCATACTCATAGAGACATTCTAGGGGGTAAAGTAAAAGTAAGGGCAGGAAGAGGAAATTTCTTGTGAATCAAATTAAGGTAAGGTTCTTTAAAAACTTGTTAGAAAGTTTAAGTGAGTTTTGTTTTTGTTTTTGGTTTTTTTTGAAGTCTAGAAGGAAGAAAACCTGATTAGCTCTGCATAGGCAACTTGGGTGAATTTCCATATCCAAAGACTAGGTAGTAGAAAGCTTGAGTGGTTATTTAGAAACTGAATAGAAGACTGTGTGAGATGGAGTAATAACTAGATTTGGGTTTTCCTCTGGCACTAAGAGAGACTTTGCAGTAACTGCCATTTGTTTTTATTAATCAGACAGTTGTTTAATGACTTATGACTTCAGGAGGATTTCCTCACCCTGGTGCAGTACTGGCTTGTCAGGGCCAGGTAGCGCCTCCTGAGGCTGAGGCAATCCAATTGTAAGCTAAAGGTTGCTCAGAATATTTTGATATTACGATTATACAAAAAAGGGAGGTCATAACATAAGTTAGCTTGGGAAGTCTGATTTTTCAGAGCATTTCCCCTCCACCCGTACCGTGTCTGTCAATAGAGGTTGCATAGCTTATGTCACATGTCAGCATACAAAACTTTTAGAGCACCATAAAGGTTGAATAACAATTTACCATTTTAGTTTACAGAAAGAGCCATTTCATGTGATTCAAGCTAGTTTTTTAACCTACCAGTTAGAAACTAAAGAGATCTAGAAATTGGTTTCAGTACAGGGCAGCAGGGAGATATACCTTGGATGCAAAGGGCACCTTGAGGCACAGAGTCTGCTCAGAGATGCCAGAGCACATAGGTCAGGACTGCTATGGACTGCACATGGGCAGGGCTTCAAAAGGGAAAGGACAGATTTTTATTATAAAAGCACTGTTAAATGAGTAAAACAGGAAAACCTCAACCCACATAGAAGTAGAAACCGCCCACATATGGGGAGTATTCATTTTTTTACTGCCCACTTACAGGAGGCTCAAGCTGTTATGGGAAGAGTTCAACCCAAAGAGATAAAACATCATTATCACTTCATTTCCTTATAGGATCTTAGGGCACACAGAGTGAGGACAGCATTAAAATGACGTAGAGAAACATTTGTAAAATGAGTGAAAATATGGTGGGCTAAATCTTTAATGTACTTTCCTCAGTACACACTACTCAGTCCAGTAAATTCAGTATATCTTAAATTGTCAAAAGTACAGTTAAGTCCAAATTATTGACATGCTTCTCTGAGAAGACTGACCTCTCTGTGTTGTGATGTAGGAGTTGCTCAGGGGATCATCACTGGAATAAGAGGGCTGTGTAATGGCTTAGGACCAGCGCTGTACGGCTTCATATTCTACATGTTCCATGTTGAGCTGACTGAATTGGGGCCGGAATTGAATTCTAACAATGCTGCCCTGCAGGTAATTTGGTGATAAATTTAGATTTATAATGATTGTATCTGATTATAGTAGAATCTTTTGACCTTAAATTCAAAGAGTTATTCTTATTTGTATATTACTGTTACATTTGATAGGAAGCAAATGCTCTATTCAGTACTTCCTAGGCTTGGGGAAGGGACCATTTCAGTGATTTATTATCTTATGTAAAAGCTTAACTTTGTTCAGAGTGCTGTCCTCTGGTGAAACCTAAGCTAAATATAACATGAAATGAATTCAGTTTACAATTAGGAATTGAACTAGAGACCAGAGTGCCATTTGATAACTATATGATATTCCTTCCTCTAAGCATGATGTGAGGCCACACAATGAGATTAGAGATGAACGGTCATTTACAGGTTTTGTTAAAAGAAGTGTTGCAGAAAGCAGTAATTGGTTTTCCTCTGTCACATTACAAACACTGGGCTCTGTTAGGCTTTGCCTTGACATTTAATGAAACATTTGCTTAAGATACAGATTTACTTTTCATGGTGTAATTTTTTGAGGATCATCCAGGACTGATTTTTGGATTCAGAAACTAACCAGATTTTTCATTTCCATTTGTTTCCCACACCATTAGGAAGCTGTCATCCCAGGCCCACCATTTTTATTTGGGGCATGTATAGTTCTTATGTCTTTTCTGGTTGCCTTATTCATCCCCAAATACAGTAAAGGGAGTGGAATTCAAAAACATAGCAACAGCATCGCTGGCAGCCTGGCCAACACGCCAGAACAGGCCAGTGAAGAGGACATTGAGCCATTACTGCAGGACAGCAGCATCTGGGAGCTTTCTTCCTTGGAGGAGCCTGGGAATCAATGCACTGAACTATGAACTGAGTAAGAAGGGGGATTCTGTGGACGTCAGCTCTGAGAGCCGTGGGGAGCCACACTACATGGAGACTTCATGGTGCTGGAGGGGAGATGCTGGTGGCATCCTATAGGGCCAAGTCTGAGCAGTGACCCCTTTCATCCAACCACCTGCATCCTCACCCTCCTCCTGTTGCTTCCATTCTTTCTTTCTGTTTGTACATTAGAATAAGATTTGAGATACTTTCCTTCAAATAATATGCCATTTTCAACATTGACTAGAATTACAACATTGAAACACAAACAGAAAATGTCCTGTCTCTGGGGGAAAAGGATGGCTTTCCTTTAGTAATTTTGGAGAGAGGATGATACTGTTCTTTCCATGTCCTTAGACCATGCAGGATTGTAATGGAATGCTCACCTATGGCAAACTCTGAGGAAAAGATTCCCATCTACCTCCTTCTCTGTTTCTCTGAACTGGGTCCACTTAGCCTACAGGTATTTATGAGGGGCCTCTCCCAGAGTCACTCAGTATCAGGGATTTAAAGCAGAAGCCGAGTCTGAGTCTCCTTTCTATTTCCTATCCTTGGCAAGAATGAAACAGCATGTACACCTCTGGTCATTAATAATACTAATCAGTGATAACTTTTATCAGATGAGGGAAAATTTTCTTACAAATTTAAATCATGTAGTAATATGAACTCAGATTCTTGCACCTAGTTTCTTGGTCGGATCCAAAGTGATTTTATAGAATAAAACCACACATCAAGCAGTCTGGTGGCAATGTAGAAAGTGGAGGATACCTCAAAGAAAGTTTCAACAATGTGAACATTCCTAGTGAGGATGAGCATTAGTAACTGGATACCAGTGCAGTTTTTTTTATCCAAGTTCACACTCATGTAATGCATTATCACTCTGCTCCTTTCCATATCCCTTGTGTTCCACTTCTCAATTTTTTCTCATTCATTACACTCCTGCCTTAACTGCTCTGTAGTGCATATTTGTTTTCAGTGGGTCTTTACATCCATCTGTTTTTCTGACTTCTGAATTTCATGGAATTATGCACATCAAATTCCTTTCTAACATATGATGGGTTAGGAAGCTCAGCTTCACAATAAGTGTCTTGCTAATTTTTTGAGATGTTTTATGGACAAAAGAAAACTTTACAGATTTATATGTATTTTGCTGCACCAGTAAATGGACCATTAACTAGGGCCTACCTTTAACAGAGCACTCCTTTGAAAGTTTTATAGGTATGAATTATATGTAGATATTTGTAAGGACTTTTAATTTTTTTTTTGATGGGGTGCTGTGTAAATCTTGTATTTATAAATGTAATGAAGGTGTTGACAGAAAAAATATATACAACTTTTATAAAGGCTTGTGTACTGACTGAATACATTTAAAAGAAAATATATTTTGAAACCTGTTCTGCTTTGAACAGAGATAACATATCTTTTTACTATGCTGTTGGTTTTTAAGTTAAGCTTCCTAATGCATAATAAATTTGCAATGGATACTTTTATGTTGTTTGTATTTCTTTTTTTTTTTTTTTAAGATTTATTTATTTGTGCATACAGAACTAGGGTACAGGCCAGAGACTCAGGGGTTGCAAAAGACTTCACCAGAGACAGAGTGGGGAGCAGAACAGGCAGATCGACGAAGTACACTGTTGAGGGGAGCAGCGGGCGGGTCAGGAGAGGTCTGCCCCACCATGTGGTCACCTCCAGGACAGGTGGGAATCGAACTCATGCGGAAGTGACTTTAGCTTCTTAGTGCAGTGCTTTAACCCGCTACCCCACCAGGGAGGGCCATTGTTTGTATTTCTTTAAGACAAATTGTACCATTGGTCTTTTTGGCATTTTTCTTGTGAGTGACTTTCAACTAAAATAGTAGTTCTTAAGCTAATGCAAAAGATATGTGTATTTTTTAAAATTTATTTTTATAAACTTTTCCCCAAAAGCTCCCTTCAAAAACACTTTCTTTAATAAAAAAAGAACACAGATATTTGTGTATACATGGTCGTAGCAAATTGTTCATTATAACCAAAAGGAGAAAGTATCACAAGTATCTGTTATTGTGTGAATATATAAACAAAATATGATTACAGGATTCAGTCAGCCACAAAAATGAAAATCTGAACTAATGTCAATTCTCCAACCTTTGCTCAGTACTGAACAGGTAGAGACTTTCTTGTCATGTTGCTTAAATGGCACAGTATAGCAGCTATATATACATAGCACTTACATTGTGCCAGATACCATAAGTAATCTAGAGATGATTTAAAATATGCAGTTGAATACCAGATGGCATGCAGATGACTATCTCATTTTATGAAATACTTGAGTATTTTGGAACCCACAGAGGTCTTAGGACCAATAAATATATCATAGTTACTGAGGGGTAATTATATACACAATGGTATCTTAGCTTTAGAAATGAGAAAATTGACACTTGCTATAACCTGAATTAACCTGAAGATATGCTAAGTGAAAATTTTGCCTCTAAAGGGATATTGATGATGTCTTTGACTGATGTAAGATAATGCTATCCTCATTGAATGAGTTAGCAAGTGTTCCCTCTTCTGTTTTCTGGAAGAGTTATGGATTAGTATTGATATTTCTTTAAACACTCATTAGGCTACTGCGGTATTAGGGTGTCCCATTCTATTTATTTAAACAATTTAATGTAAGTTGTTAACTAGGTAGCTGAAAGAGGGGTCAGGCACTGGCCAGTTGGGATACCCAGGCTGGCTCCCCCCAGGCACCTCCCTACAATTTCTTACCAGGCGTGTTTCTTCACTTTCAGATTTTTGTTCATCTTTCCTGCCCATCCTATTGAAAATCATCCTGCCTGCCCTTCTGCTCTAATTTTCTCCATACAAGTCATCACAGCATGCTCTGTAATTTACTTACTTAATCATCTGCCTGTACACTAGAATGTAGCCCCTGTGTGGACAGGCATTTCTTTTTATCACTACATTGTAGCCAGCCTGCGGCCCCAGGCCTGGCTCATGGGTTGACTCAGAAGAGATATGCTGAACTGCATTAATGAGTTACAGTATGAGTAACTTTCTCAGTGTTATCCTCTAACTTTCAGATATTCCATCTATTGAGTACAATTAAGCTTATTCCTCCTCTTGCATATCGTAATTTCAATAACTTACATACCACCTAGCATCTGCTGCCATTCTGATACAGGATCCTTCTATTTCTGAAGGCTGGCTGGCCAGGGAAATGCACTCTGCTCTGGCAGAAGAGATTAATTTTGCCCTCTCAGGTGCAAAGCAGAAACTACTGTCAAAACTGTGAAATTATTCTTCACAGTGTTATTTTTCCTAAGTTCAAAGTAGTGGTGTCTACACCTTCAAGAGAGACTGGGTGATTTGATCATTTCTTCTCCACTGTTCCCTGAGGGTCTTCCCAGGGACAGGCCCTGGTGGAGGGCTGCAGGTGAGATTTCTGAAGTGCACCCACTCAAGAGATAAACACTGGGCTGAAAATTGGAAGGAACCAGAAGTTTTCTGGACAGTAACGTGAAGGACAGACCCAATAACGTGAAAGTCAGACCCAAGGGCAAGAGCCTCAACACAAGGCATTGAAAGGGGGCTACCCCGACCTTATCAGTAAGGAGAAGCCCTCACCTATTTGAGTGGGAAACACAACAAAAGAGTGTTGGGTGGAGTTGGCCCAAGAACTGCCTGAAAACTTTTATCCCTAACTGAACTCCCCCACAGTTCACTCACAGGCCACTGTCAGCTGGGGTTTTGGGTTTTTTGTTTATTTTTAATGTAGTACATATCTCCAGTCCCTTTGCACGTATTTTTTCAAACTGCCTGGATTGAATTTATAGCTGATATATTTACCACTGAATTCCCATTGTGTCTGTGTCCCTGTGGTGGTTTACAGTATTTGCCGTCCATCAGCTTCACACTCCCAGGCTTCCCTGTACTGTTCACATTGTGGGTCCAAGAGCAGAGCTCCCGAGGTAGAAGTCATGCAGCTGGGTTTCCTGTTCCCCAGATACCACCATCTGACACCCAGTACCCATCAGGCCTTGAACTTCAGTCTCTTCAAAGTGTTTGTTTCTGTTCATCTCTTGCCCAAGAAAGTGGTTACCTTGTTTTGACCAAGCTATAGAGTTTGGATCTTATTTTATTTTTTTCTAAGTTCTGTGATTGAAGCAGGAGTGAGCATCTTGACAAGGTTTTCCAGTCTCTAGCTTGTGTTTAAAAGTTCCTTTTAAAGATCTATTTTTAGTGGTTGTCTGATCTTGATATTGTACCCAAAATCTCCTCCCACAGTTCACTGTTACTACCAGTGCAGCTGCCGGCAGGCTGTGATCTGAGCTCCTCTGCTAAATATATTAGTATATTTATGCAGTGGCTCTCTCTCAGGTGCTTACGTGCCAGGGAGCAATCACACAGGTTTTTGTAATAGTAAGCCACATGGATCTCTGATACTCTTACCGTCTTAGTCTAATATTGTTAATATCTTGGTCATTTCAATATTAAAATGTTTCATGTATTCTAAAATTTGTAAAAAATGAACATGTGTAATTTATAAAACTATCATTAAAAATCCCATGACATTGGCGAACAATAACATAGAGGAATAGTCCCTTCAACTCTGCCTGAGGCTGATTTCCTTAAATTGGTAAAAAATGAATATGTGTAATTTATAAAACTATCATTTAAAATCTCATGAGACTGGCGAACAATAACGTAGAGGAATAGTCCCTTCAACTCTGCCTGAGGCTGATTTCATTAAATTGGGTCTTGGGCTGATGCTAAGAATGTCAAACGTGTAAGTATAAATGTGTGGCATAATATTAGCATTCTCTGGATGTATTAGTATATTTATGTATTGGTTGTTTTGTTTTGTTTGTAGTTTATTCACTTATAAATCCGTTAGTGATCACCATTAACCATTTTTAAAGCTATTGTTTTGAGTGCCATGAGGTTACTGTGTTCTAAAGTGCATTAACCACTAGATGGCAGTATCAGGCAGTTGTTTTTTGGGTTTTTTTCCAAGTTTAAGTCAATGCAAATCTTTGCTAGGTTCTGCTGGAACTTTTTTTTAATAAAAACTAATTGGAATTTTGTGAAAGTGGGAATTTCAATATAGTTTCATGCTAAAACTTGAGCAGTAATATCCAGACACAAAAAGTCCAAGTTGTACTTTGAAATCTTATTTCCTTTAGCGTTAGTCATAACATTACATGTGAATTAATACATAGCATGTGTTAACAAAATGAGGGAAAAGAGGTACTATCTAACATGCAAGTATGCGCAACTATTTTCTGTGCTGAGCATGGTAATTCTAAAAGAAATCAGTGCCCTATTTGTCACGAAGGAGAACTGGAATCTACCTGAGATATTTGCACCACTTAAGTTTGAATTTCCAAAGGGGTAAGGCTGGAGCTGGACAGCCCTTGGCCTCCACTACTGGAGCGCGCCGCGGGTGTGTCCCGCCCTGCCCCACCCAAACCTGCCCGCTCCACCTGCGCGGCACTGATGCGCATGCGTGGACAGCCCGACGGCTTCCTCTCCAGCCAAGGGTTTCCTCCAACCTTGGAGTGGGCTTGGGTTGGCGGGGAGCCTGGTCTCTTCTGGACCCAGCGACGAGAACTCCTCCGCGTTCTGATCTCGAGATCTTCTTGCCTTCGAGGGGAGAGGGTGAGCTAAAGATGAGAGGAAAGTGGGGACATCTTGTGGGTACTGACCGCGGAGGGTCCAAGTCGGGTGACCCACTGCGAAAAGGGCTGTATGTGGGAAACTGGGAGATTTGGGGGGAATTAATTATCGGATCTAGAATATCTTAGGGGTTCATTCCTGAGCGTGACCCCTCGGTGTTCCCCCTCCATTGACTGAAGAGCGCGTCCTTCCCTCTGCTCCTGGCGCCTCCCGGGCACATTGATGACACCTGGTGGGACTTTCCTGGGCTCTGGGTTCTGTTCCACCGACTGTGGGTTTGATAATAGGGTTTGGGGAAGATATTGCAAACTTTCTGGGGATGTTAACCCCCCCTCCCCACCCCAGGTCTAGCCGGCAGGAGGGTGACGCCATCTCCCAGACGCCCAGTCTGAGCAGTGCCCACGCGGTAGCGCTCTGCGCCTCTGCCGCCTGGAGGTGGAGCCAACACCCTTCCCCCTCCGCCTCTACCCCACTGTGGGCCCCGGAGGCAGATGAAGATTAAACTGTGGGCGCTCAGCTTTTGCATCTTTGCGGGGCGTTCTTTACAAAGGAAGAGGACAAGTCATAGCATAGGTTTCGGTTGGGACAAATTGGAGCGGAAGCCCCTCCCTCCCAGAATAATTGCATTCTTCGCGTCAGCGGCTCACTTTTCCTAGCCGTACGACCTGCATCAAACTCTTGTTTGCGGGATAAAATCGGCGAGGCTGCTTCTGGGCGCAAATCCTCACTAATCATAAACTGCCGCCGTTGAAAGGTTGTGTCCAATCAACAGGTCTGATTAACCGGGAGCAAGATGCCTCCGGCTTCACGCAAGCTGTGTTGGC